AGAATTCTCCCATTAAAAGGACAAATTTTCAAAACCAACATCTTTCCACATTTAATCCCCAAAAAAGACCCATTTCAACAATATTTTCAAAACCGACCTGGTTTTAGCCTCAACTCCCATGAAGTTTCGGAAGTTCAAACGCACATTTGGCCAGACAAAGTTTCGCACCCCTATTCATGGAGATAATCAAGCAAAAGAGTGAGTAGGCAGGGACATGTGCACATGGGGGCATCACGTGGTGTGTGGCCCAACTTGTCTTTTTGTTTGACGGCAAAAGTCACCACCACATCTTTTTCCCATGCTTCTTCTGCCCTGCCCGTAATAATTAATAATTAAATATCCCTCTCGTCCTCGGGACTTGATCCCTTCATCAACCTCGAGACCCAAAACTTCACTCTCCTTAGAGCTTCTCCAACGGGGAGGCTGCAAAATGCAGCCTCCCCAAAGAATATTCTCTTGAATATTCTTTTTTAGAGGGGGGAACTCCAATCACTCCACTCTAGTATACAATGGTATATTCTTTACATGATATCATTATATCAAATTTCACTTCTAAAATACATATTATTAAATAATGATTTACGTAATACTATATTATAAATTAATACTAAAATTTTCTAATACATTTTTATTTTTAATTACTTGGTTTTTGGAATTTTATATTTTAATTAATATTATTCAATATTAGTCTCATTTTGAAGGTATCGACAAGACATTTCCAACTATAAAATTTTTATTTAAAAATAATTAGTAGAAATAAACTTATGTTGATTTTAAATTACTAGTTACTAATTAAAAAGGCTATAGAAGTAATAAGTAATTGTTTATAAAACATTAAAAGGGCAAAGTGGGTATTTAGAAAAATTTGCAGCCACCTGCAAATTTTGGAGGGAGACTGCATATTTGCAGCCCAGTTCCCTCCGGTTGCGGCTGCATATTTGCAGCCCCATTCCCTCCGGCTGCAAAATGCAGCCGGAGATGGAGGCTGGTTAGAGGGCTTCGGACTGCAAAATCCAGTTTTGCAGCCTCGTTGGAGAAGCTCTTAGTATTATAAAGGAGACATGAGCTGAAAGTAGTTTCAGGTTCATCTTCGACGGAAGAACAAGGTGCTAGATACTTTTTTTAACTTTGAAACTTCACGGGACTTCAAGTCCCGTGAAGTTTAGCAGCTTAACAAAATAACTACTAAACTTCACGGGATTTGAAGTCCCGTGAAGTTTCAGAACTTTATTTGTAAAAACCGACCTGGTTTCAGTGCTGAGGCTGAAACCAGGTCGGTTTTTACAAATAAAGTTGAAAGGGGTCGTTTTTAGGGAATAAATGGGCAAATAGGACAATTTTGAAAAATTTTCCCCCATTAAAAACAACCACTGATCTCTCTCTCTGCCGCCCCCCCCCCAACTCACTCGCTCTCTCATGGCCAAATCCTCAGAGTAAATGGCATCAGGTTCCAGAGGCTTTATCTCCACCAAATTCCATCAAAACCTAATTCTCGAATCCCTAATCCAAGCTCTCTCTATAGGAGAGCTTACTCCACTGAATTCCCCCAAAACACATCTCTCAAAATGACATCTTTTCTTGAACCCTCTCCCAAAATCACAAATTTTTAACCCAAAAACCTTTTCCCCACCTGGGTTTTCCAATTCAAGGCAGCTAGTTCCAATTAGAACCTTCACTATCGGAAATTCAATGCTGGGTTTGGGGAATCAATAGACAATGATCCTCTATCAAAGATCAAATCAGGCTTTTGCATGAGAGAGGGGCTTTAGGGCTACAGGTGAAGTCATTTTGGAAGAGAATTACTTAGTTCTTGTATGTGTTGGGGGTGTAGTTATCTGCATTTCACTATGGAGGGTGATGTTTTGGGTTGCTAGCACTTTTGTCGTGCTTTCGAAGGGCACATCAGAGTATGGGTTTCTTGCTTGTTTCTGTTTAACACACGGGACTACTAGTCCCATGTGTTTCAACACTCTTTTTGGCTAGCCTTAGTGAGCTGGCAAAAAAATATCAATTTTGCTAGTTATTTAATAAAAATATCATTTTTATTAATTATTTTTTGAAAATGGTCTTTTTTAAAATTCTCCTTTAGCATATCTATCTACCCTTTAAAAGAGGGAGTTCATGAAAAACTTTACTCTCCCCAAAATAGCATTACCCCCAATTTAATTACCAAACATATCCCAAAATAGCCTCCCCAAAATACTCTTTCATCAGTTACGAATATATTCCTCCTTTCAACTCATCAGTCCTTTCAATTCACCGGTCCTTTTAATTACCAAACTTTACTCCTTTCAATTCCTCCTCCTCCTCCTCCTCCGATCTTCCATTACCTCCAACAACTTTTAGAGATGAATTACATTCACCAGTTCATCTGTTACCCTTCATCTCGGCACCTCTTCTCGGTTCTTACGTTACGCAGTCGCACGATCTTAAGCCATCAATTTCAAAAGATGATTGTTATTTCCCTAATCATCAACCTGTCTCTGCCATCATCTCCTCATTTGTCAGATTTTTTGCATTGGGTAGAACCAGCAAGGAATTTCATTGAAGAAGGTATTACTAAATTTTTCCTACGCTTTCTGCTCAATTCATCATCTCAACTTTTTGTTCTTCATTTCTCTCATTGGTTCTAATTTTAAAGAAAAAATTCATTTAATTGTGTTCTAATTAGCCATCATTTCATTTTGTTCTAATTCAACAATAGGTCAAGGATTGTCCGAATTAGGGCTTGCTTCAAGTCTTCATCTTGCTCCTGTGTCAGTTTCAACAGGTAAAAATTCAATTGTTATTTTTTTTGAATTTATGGTTTATGTCCTTTTAGTTAAATTTGGTGAATTAGTTTTTTTATTTTGAGCTGAATTGAGGAAATTAGGGGTGGACAACTTTGTTAGATAGTATTTTCAGACACAAAAGAGGAAACTTGACTGCGTTTGTTAGATAGTATTTGCAGACATAATTTTGAGCTGACTTGAGGAAATTAGGGGTGGACGACTTTGTTAGATAGTATTTTAAGACACAAAAGGGGAAACTTGACTGAGTTTGTTAGATAGTATTTGTAGACACAAAAGGGGAAACTTGACTGGGTTTGTTATATTCCAATTATTTGCTTGCTTATATTGTTAGACATATGTAGACAATTAATTTACGTAGAATTACGAAGAAAGCATGATATTTGTTGTATAAAATTTTGCGAAAATGAAGTGGTTGTTCAAAGACAACAGTAGGAGCAAATAATATACTAAATCTGTAGAGGAGTATGGTACACAATGCATAGGAGAACAGAGTAAAGATTCTACTCGATCAGATCCACACAACTGAATTGAAAAATTATGTTGATTAAATAATGATGACATAAAAAATTAGAAAATCATTTTCTGTTTTCATGAACTGATAACAGAGGTGAATAATAAGCAAGACCTGTAGCAGACACATGACATGCAACTATAGTTCAAGTATTTATAGCTATGATGCCTCAAAATAATGATTAAATCATTAAAAAGCTATCATAGATCTTGACTGAATAAGTACATAAGTATATCATGCCAGAACAAAGAAATAAAGAGGTAAATGTAACCTTTCCAAGTACAGGGTCATGCCCAGAAGTAAAAGTAGCTCATAATTGCACAACAAACGTATCGTTTTTGAGTATCCACTACCACAAATGCTCAATTGCATATACATGCTAATTGATAAACACAAAAAGTGAGAAAATTTCTCAAGCGGAAAACTCAACCTGAAAAACTGGATTAGATGTTGATGATACCTAACATGAAGGTTCAAGAAAAGTTTATGTATTAGGATTGATCGCATTGTATATTAATTAAACACCACCCCAGAAAAGAAGTTTGTACCAACTATGTTCAAGTTATCTGAATAGACAAGAAAACTAGCAAACTCCAACTTTTTTGCAGCCTAGACTTTTCCTTTTCTCTGTTTTCTCCACCCATGATATAACCAGGAACTATCCAATGAAAACAATGTAGTAACTTCTGCAGAATCTCATAAACCTGCATGCACAATTCTCGCGTCGGCACAAGAACCAACGCTGATACATATTGTCAGTCAAATGTTAATCCCAAATGTTCTTTTTTCCCACTTTTAATGAGAAGACCAAATGTATCATTACTATGATGAACTAATATATAAAAGCACAAACTACTATGTGAGCATACCAAATTCCCATCGGATCGTTGAATCCGCTGATCATAAGCCTAAAGTAAATTCACAATTGGTGCGAGATACACAATAGTCTTTCCGGTCCCAGTAACGGCATTAACAAGTCTATAATCTCCATCTAAGGGGGGGGGAACTATTTAAAAAGAGAAATTTTAAATTTCCAATGAAATATATAGAGAAATTTCAAATTTCTGTAGGCTGTCTAAAAATCACAATAGATAGCAGATCCCCATCAAACACCGATGATGGAAGTTACAATCTGACGACTTCCAGAAGGCTACAATTTAAAGACTTTCACGTAGATCGCTAAAGGTTACAATCTGACGACCTTCACGACAACTGATGGAAGCTCTAATCAAACAGCCTTCATAATCAACATCGGGAGTTACAATCTGACGACTCTCATATATCAGAGAGCTAAAGCAAAGATTACAAAATGACGATCTTTGCAACGCTTCGACAGAAAGAGACTACAAATCGACGGTCTCTTCAAATCAAACTGTGGAAGTCCTCCCCGCACACCAGCATCAAGACGCATCGCGTTCATAGCCACGAACGCAGCTCAACGCAGCTCATACCGCAGCTCAACGCAGCTCCAACCACTGCTCAACGCAGCTCCAAGCGCTGCCCAACGCAGCTCTATACGGCTGCCCAACGCAGCTTTATACCGTTGCCCAACGCAGCTCTATACCGTTGCTCAACGCAGCTCCAACCGCTGCCCAACGCAGGTTCACTCGCTGCCAGACGCAACTCCAACCGCTACCCAACGCAGCTTCACTCGCTGCCAGACGCAACTCTAACCGCCGCCAAACACAGCTCCCAAGCTGTCAAACGCAGCTTTCAACAAGATGCCAACACAGCTTCCAAATTGCTGCGTCTGAGCTTCCAAACACTGCGTTTGAACGCAGAATTCGCATCAGAACATGGATTTTGCGTTTGACTCGTTCAAACACGAGCTGAACGGTTTCAAAACCGTTTCCCACGATCTGAGGGGATCACAACTCCACTCAGGAGTGATTTAAGGGGGCAGTTATATCTCATTAGCCCCACTTAGGAGAGAATTAAGGAGGTGGTTACACCCCTTAATGCCCTATAAATAACTGAAAATCAATTCAGTTCAGGGGTCGGTCTGTTGGAACTTCTTGGCAACGAAAAGAGGATCCTTCATCCTTCGGTTGGAGCTTTGGAGATCGGCAACAAGATCTTCTTCATCCTTGGCTTATAACCGACTTTCGGTTAAATCAACTCTTTCATAGAGTTTTAAACTCGTTCAGAGTTCTCCACAACGTGAAATCGTGAGGAGAAGACCACGTTCCAATGAAACAAGACATCGGATCGTCAACGAGAAGCAAACTCGACGCGAGCATTCGAGGGAGGCATCTCATCGCTACCGTGAAGAACCCAGAATTAAACAAAGGGGAGAATCCAGATCATTCTCTTCTCTTTTGTAATCAGGAAATCCAATTGTAACTGAGATTAAAGGAATACAAATTAATTTTTCTTTATTTCTTTTACTGCAAATTTTCCCACAAACAAAAGATGGCAACTCTGCTGGGGAAAAGCTTCTCTGACGAAGAAGTGGTGGCGCAATCCGACGTTCATCTCACTGGAACACTGACGAAGAAGTGGTGGCGCAATCCGACGTTCATCTCACTGGAACAACCGTCGAAACTCTCGTGGTAGCGTTTGATCAAGCCAAGTTTGAGGAGGCCCTCTCCTCCGGATCCCTTAGCCCCAAGGCTATGCGCAAGATCCACAAAGTCTCCAAAGAAACTAAAGCTCCAACTGCTCCAATTGCAGCCGAACCGCCTAAGGAAGACTGCTCGGACAACCCCTCCACGATGGAGTGGGCTCAGCTTCAGCCAAACTCGCGCCAAGACGACAGGTATCGGGTCGAAAGATGCCCATGGAGGTGACAAAGGCCTTGAAGCAGGCTAAGAAGAACGCCGCTCGATGGTGGAGGAGATCCCTACAACGAGCGTATCTCCGAGAATGCCGATCCTCAAGTCAACACGAGCTTCGTGTTTGTGAGCCTAAACACAACCATGTGCTCTGCGTTTCTGCTTCAGAATGCAAGCCTCGCGTCCATGAGCCCAAACATAGGCTCTGTGTGAATAAGACTGAACGCAGCCCTCAGAACTGCGTTTTACCAGCAACACCTGGAGCTCAGGCATGCGTTCGGGTGGCGAAATTCAATACCGAACCTGGTGTATACCGTGGAGCTTCGGGGCGCTGTCCCGAACCCCACCGGGGGGTATTCCATCCCCCCCGGACCCCCTGGCCAGGGGCGCGCCGCCCCCTCCCGGTTCGTTGACCGGGCAACGAGACCCCCGAATACTCTGCGTAGCGCGATTAGATCGAGGGGCAGATATAAGAAGTCTTTGGATTCAAGGCATCTCAACCAGATCCATGTTCACCAAGAGCCAGTCCTGTCCAATCATGGACTGGGGGTTCCAATTCAAACCTCACGATCAGTGAGTAATTCTCCTTGAATCTTCACAATAGATTTGAGAGAGTTCATATCGAGAGAAAGACCGATGCAACAAGTCATTCGTTCATTCCAATGTGAACGACTGATTCCTACGGTTATCTCAGGATGTCAATGCTACTCATATGCGGTCAAACTGTTGGTGTTCGACTAATTTACGAACGTTGCTTTGCCCAACCAACGACGACGTTCTCCCAGGAAGAAGTCTCCAGAGACCGAGTATCCTGAAGTCACTATCAATGTGATCGGGGTCACTATCAATGTGATCGGAAGAGGGAAAGCCTCAAGTCCTAATTCCGATGACTCAGAGACAAGTCGTTCACCGACCGTCAGACAAATCGCTAACAAGATTGAAGGAATCTATCAACGCACTCGGACGCAAACAGGAACCATTCCCCCTGTCAACTATCGGAGGTTAGCCACAAGAACTAATTCCGATGATGAACATTCAGCCATTGTTGAGTCTCAATCATCAAGCTCTTTCATTAGGCATGGGAGCTTCACCCACATGGCAGAACATTCTGAAGATCTTTCAAAGAGGGTTGCTGAGCAAGACGCCATGCTCAAATCACAGCAGAAGACCCTCAATGAACTCCTAAACCTGTTGACTCAACTCGTCGCAGACAAGGCTAAATCTCAGAAGACAGAGTTGCCACCTAGGCAAGAATCCTCCCGGAGAGGAAAAACCTCTTCATCCCGACCTCACACAAGCAAAGGGAAGGGAAAAGTGGTTGATGACACGGTTTCTGACCAAGAAGCCCACAATCTAGAATCTTCCTCTGATGAAGAAAGAGAGACGGAGAACGAGCAGAATCTCCAGTCTGCTAAAATGGAAGAATTGGAAACCCACCTCAATGTCATTGCCAACAGAAGCGAGCTCCAAGACGAGGGAGTTATCAGACCATATCCTGCCGAATGGGATGCAGCCCCTTATCCTCCAAAATTCGAAGTCTCGACGCTACAAACTTTTGACGGCACAGGATCACCGAACCAACATATCTATCATTTCAAATCACAGACTGGGAATATGATATCAAACGACGACATACTGGCTCGATTGTTCATTGGCACCCTCAAGGGAGTTGCCTTTGAATGGTTCAGGAAAC